CATTGAAGGGGATGCTTTCATCTTAAAGATCCTAAATTGAAACTGCCTCCAACTGTCTCCAAACACAGTTTGTTATAGGCTGGAATACCCTGTATACACTCCTTACACATTTAGTTATTTTTCTCAACTTACTCTACACTAGGTATTGGCAACATAATTAATATCCTCATGGATGACACTGATTCTTAGGGGGAAAAATTTTTCATTATTTCACTGACTTGTTCTCCAAACAACTATAGTACATAATCAGATAGATACATGGCATAATTGTATTACTAAAATTTGGACAGGAATGGGTAATGAAAATTAAGGAAAAATGTCTAAGGATATCCATGGAGATTATGATGAAAAGAAACAGTTGAGAAGTACTGTTTTCCATATATAGAGGAATATTGTTTCCACCACCTAATTGTGGAAGAATTGGGTATAAAGCATATCAGTTGATATTTTTCCAGGATTCCCACAGAAGTAGCAGGCTTTGCAGAGACAGTGATACATTATCTTAACTTAAATCCTAGTTGAAGGAAAGTGTCTGTGTAGTTTTCTTAAAACTAAATAAAAATATTTATTTTGAAAAAACATTTTCCAAAATTCAGAAAACTCAACTGTTCCAGACTTACATCCACATATTTGTTAGCAGGAATTTTTAGGGCAACATTTACTATGTTTGAGACCAGAGAATTAAGTATGCATAGTGATATACTGCTACTCTGGCCCATAAGTTTTTATTTACCATTGTTCAGCAAGAACTGTTGAGATTTATAATTCAGTCAAAGAATGATTGATATTGAGCTTACAAATTTGAATAAGCAGGAGGGTGTATCAATAGTCTTTACTTCTATAATGTTTTTTTTAACATTATCCATACAAGTGCCAAATCCATATATTGGTGTAAAATGCAAACCTTTGCAACACCTGGACACAATTTGAGTACCATGTGTTCCTTAAGTGGGAATATAAACACTTGGACCCAAAGGGCATTGGGCAAATATCCACTATAGTTCTGTGATCTACATCTACTTTATAATCCTTTTTGGTCTAGGCTGCAGTAGCAACAAGGTTACATAATTTAGGGCTGGATTCACCACCCCCACCCCAAATACCATCTTGTTTCTCATTTTCACAGAGAAAACATGTAAAGTTGCAAGCTATTTCTTACCATTACTTATAGAATAATGTTCTGTGCTTGTATAGTCTAGGGAAACTAAGCTAATAAGGAAGAAGGAATACTTAACATTTCTACAGTTCATTGAACTTCCTCAATGACAAAAACAAACAAAATTGCACACAATAGTCACCTGAGAGTCATACTTAATTTCAAATTTCTGACTTTGGACAATTAAAATCAAGTTCTTTCCTTTATTAATCTTATTTTATATTCTTTTTGAGAAAATAGGAATAACATTTATCCTTTGGGGGATATTTCTGTACTTCTTGAAAGATTCACCAATCTTTTAAAAATATTTTTAACTGTCCTTTGTAAGATTATCTTAAATGTTCTTAGGAGTTTTATTTTGTAACAGCTATAGTTTATATTGTTGTTCAATATAATAGACATCAGACATTATACATTAAACAATAAGTTCTCCCTTCAATGGATGAATGGATAAAGAAACTGTGGTATATATACACAATGGAATATTACTCAGCATTAAAAGAGAATAAAATCATGGCATTTGCAGGTAAATGGATGGACTTGGAGAATATCATATTAAGTGAAGTTAGCTAATCCTAAAAAATCAAAGGCTGGATGTTTTCTCTAATGTGTGGATGCTAATCCATAATGGGGATGTGTGTGGGGGAGTGGCATGCAAGAAATGGAGAAACTTTAGATAGGGCAAAGGGGAGGGAGGGGGAGGGAGAGGGCATGGGGATAAGAAAGATGGTGGAATGAGATGAACATCATCACCCTAAGTACATGTATGAAGACACGAATGGTGTGACTCTCTCCTTTATGTACAACGAGAGATATGAAAATTGTGCTCTATATAAATGTATTACATATTGAAATGCATTCTGCTGTCATGTATAACAAATAGAATAAATAAATAAATTTTAAAAAATATTAAGTTCTAAAGTCATAGTACCTTATTTCATATGCTCAGTAGCCACATGTGGCTCTAGCCTACTATATTGGACAGCATGAGGTGATAAAATATTTTTATTGTCACAGAAAGTTCCATTGGATGCAAATTATTTAGAGCTATGATAGTGTATCAGGATATGATAAAATATGTAGATGAGATAAATACAAAATATATAAAATACCCTTTGTTAAAATCTTAGCTAAGATTATTCTGGGGAAAGTATGCTTGAAAATAGAAGAGTAAGTTGCCATATTGATAAATGTTTCTGAATTTGTTTAGACTTGCCACAAAGCTAGAATATGAAGTAAATCAGATTATAATCTTGAATCATTATGTCTATATTAAGAAGACAAATGCAAATTTTAACTATCATTGTATGTTTGGGGCTTAACTTTGTATATAAAAGTTACAGCATTACAATTTTACATAAACCTAGTATTTCAAGATATTTGAATGGTTAACAGGACAATAGAAGAAGGCCTTAAGTACCTTTGATAAAATTTGTGACATAGTGCTCTGCAGATGGCTTCAGAGAGCACTAACAAATATTTTGAGATCATACCATTTTTCATTTGCTCATTGGGTAATCAACAAATTTGATATCAGTAATCACATTTAAGCTTTGCTCTGTTCATCTTTGAGGGAACTCTGAATATAAGTAATCAAATGCATTCCTCATTTTGTCAGATCTGGGTTTCTAGTTACACTGAGGTTATTCAAAGATCAAGAAACTCAACTCAAAGTGGATCAAAGACTGGGGGTCTAGAACAGAGGAGACCCTGCACCTAACAGAAGGAAAAGTAGGCCCAAATATTCACCATATCAGCATAGGATCTGACTTCCTTAACAGAACTCCTAGAGCACAAGAAATAAAATAAAGAATCAATAAATGGAGATGGATTCAAACTAAAAACCTTCTTCTCAGCAAAGGAAACAATCAATAATTTGAAGAGAGAGCCTACAGTATGGGAGAAAATCTTTACCACATGCACTTCAGATAGAACATTAATCTTCAAGATATATAAAGAGCTCAAAAAATTTAACACCAAAAAAAAATAACCCAATTAACAAATGGTCTAAGGAACTGAACAGACACTTCGTAGAAGAAGAAATACAGTCCATCAACAAACATACGAAAAAATCTTCAACATTTCTAGCAACTAGAGAAGTACAAATCAAAAATACTCTAAGATTTCATCTCACTCCAGTCAGAATGGCAATTATCAATATTACAAGCAATAATAAATGTTGCGAGGATGTGGGGGGAAAGGTTCAATACTTGTGGGACTGCAAACTGGTGATACTGTTATGTAAAGCAGTATGAGATTCCTCAGAAAACTTGGAATGGAACCACCATTTGACCGAGCTATCCCAATCCTTGGTTTATACCCAAAGGACTTAAAATCAGCATATTACAGTGACACTGCCACATCAATGTTTACAGCAACTCAACTTACAATAGTTAAACTGGAATCAACCTAGGTGTCATTCAACAGATGAATGGATAAAGAAAATGTGGTATATATGCACAATGGAATATTACTCCACCTTAAAGAAGAATGAAATTATGGCATTTGCTGGTAAATGGATAAAGCTGGAGAATATCATGCTAAGTGAAAGAAGCCAATTCCAAAAAAACAAAAGCTGAATGTTTTCTCTGATAAATGGATGCTAATTCACAATAAAAAGCGTGGGACTAAGGAAGAATAGAGTTACTTTGGATTAGGTAGAGGGGAGTGAAGGGAGGGGAGGTGTATGGGGGTAGGAAGGATAGTAGAATGAATCTGACATTACAATCCTATGTACATATATGACTACATGACTGGTGTGATTCTACATCATGTACAACCAGAAGTGAAAAATTATACTCCATTCATGTATGATGTGTCAAAATGCATTCTACTGTCATTTATACCTAATTAGAACAAATTTTTTAAAAGTTGATTTTATATACTTTTTCAAAATTATAGATAAACATTGTTTATGGATGTCTTTTAAATGAAAAATGATTAGGACACTTGCTTATTGCACTTGAATGCACCCTTTCACTAGATTGTTACTTTGGGGCAAATTTTAGACTACTTTTTAAAAAATGTTTAGCATAATTTAGTTGAATACAACCTTTCTAGATATTCAGATATTATTGGCATGTGCATTTTTCTATAAAGATGGCCTTGTGAAAATTGGTAAGTTACAATAGATTTAGTTTGCCAGTGAAATTGTTAGAACTTGTCCTTAGACTTTATAGAATGGAAATGAAGAGATTATGGTTTTGTTGCTTTTTTAAAAACTAACTTATTTATTAATTGGTACTAAGGATTGAACCCATGGACACTTAACCACTAAGCCATGAACCCAGCCCTTTTTATGTTTTATTTTGAGACTGGGTCTCACTAAGTTGCTGATGGTCTCACTAAGTTGCTAAGGCTGGCCTTGAACTTGTGATCCTCCTGCCTCAACCTCCTAAGTCGCTGGGATTACAGGCACCACCATGCTTGGGATTGTTAATTTTTATAGTAGTATTTTAAAAAATTTATAACAGTCTTAATAGAACATGAATATTTTATTTCAAAAACATAATTATTACTGAACTGTTCTCTGTCCTTTGGACCTTATGGGAAAAGAGAGAGTGGTTCATATTTGTGCATGTGACACACAGAGGACTTAGTAATATCCACCTTTCCCAGTCTGTGCATAGCATAGCATACTCACACTTCATAACTGTTTTATTGTTAGATTCTGTGTGCCCTGTGTATATATAGACACATCTGTATGCATGCATATTTTTGTATTAAGATGTTATTTTTCCTCTTTTTTTTTTCTTTTCTCTGTTAGGTGACAATAAACCCCAAAATGGAAGGGCAGTTGTTCATGCCTGTCTTCTTAATTCTCAAATGTCATTTTCAGAGTATGAGCTGACAACTTACTTCCAAAGTCTCCATTCCTACCTATGGACTCTTGGACACCCTCACAGGTATAATAACTATATGGGTAGGGAATTTCATGTTTATAGGAAAGCAGCCTAGAATGGGTTTGAATTAATATATCTTCTTCTTAGGCTTGATTGCATTTGGTTGCAGCCAAAAGGGATTAGAACTCATCCAAAAACCAGATGAGTATGGTTACAGTACAGAGGAGTTATAGCTATGTGATCATAACAGGTTTTCTTGAACTGGAGGTCTCTCCTCAATAATCCTACCCTCAGCTGAATTACCTTTATCAGACTATTACATTTTAGCTCTTTATTGGCATGATAGATTCATTCAATGTACTTTTGATTTCCTGTGGTCAGATAACTTTCAGTTTATTTTTTGTGACAAAACCACCTTGTGTATTGCCTTTTATAGAATAAGTTCTCAGTAACTTTTGGTGAGAATAGATATATTTGTACCCTGTTTTGAGTGCTTTGGGGAATAATCTTTCCAACAAAGCAGTGAAAGATGATTTTTAAGAAAGCAAAAGACATTATTTTCAGTGGGACTCAGATGATTCATTCAGTTTTAAAAATCTAAAATATACAATGTGTTGATACTAAAACATATAGAGACATGGAACATCTGGTTATGGTTTCAGAGCTGTGTAAATAAGGAGCAGTTTCCAAATGAAATCAATATTAAAAAGAAATAAACAGCAAATTTCCCAGACTCTCACTGCATTACCTGCTTCACTGGAAATAGAGTTTTTTGTTTGTTTATTTGTTTGCTTATTTATTTATTTATTTATTTATTTATTTATTTATCACCTCAGAAGAGAACTTTTTTGGGAATTCTTCTGGGAGTGAATGGCACCATTAAATTTCCAAAAGAAGGCTCCTCCAACAAAGAGCTCTTCACCTGAATATTTTGCAAGAGACACACTCTGAAGGTAAGGTTGTTAGTTAGAATAGTCCTTGCTTTCTAGAAGCCGTGTCTGGGTAGAAAATGATATGTTAATTTCTTGCAGTCTGATGATTTGAGTACATTTTAATGGATTCCAGTGGCCACATAGCACAGTGGGTTAAATGTCAGAGCTTTTGTGTATAGCTTTTCTACATTTCAGTATATTTCCTTCCAACATGAAGGATTTCCTTATAACTTTTCTTCTCTCATCCAGTTGACAGTACTTCTTTATGGCTGGATCCATTGTATTGCTAGAAAATTGTATTCATGAGATATAGTATATTCTCAGTGACTCCGACTAGAAAGTTGACAACTAGTTTTGTCTGAAATAATTGATCAAATGAATGAGCTTTAAGGAGCCAAGAACAGCAGGGAAGAGACAGATACAAAATTTGAAGTTGCTGAAGAATGTCCTTAACTTTTTAGCCCATCAAAAGGAGAAAATGCAATACAATAGTACTTGACATTCTTTATGTTAGGAAGTTATAAAGTGATTTTTGTAGCTATAGTGTGGATCCAGCTGCGGAAATGTGGCTTTCTCTTTGTACTCTACATAGATTTGTTCCATCACATGTATGGGAATAGTAAGAATTTCATGACCCCCTGCCTCTTTAGGGCATGTGTTTCTAACCTCTGTCATTTTTTCTCTCTGTGTCTTTGTAGGTGATGACCCCAAAGACAAGGTATATTTGTTAGAGTTGGTGCCATTACTTCTACCACCAGCTTCACCAAAACAATGATATAGTCTTCCTTATGCACAGTCACTTCTCTTTCCTGTGTGGCAGTGGATACCTCCTGCAGATAAGAAATGCTTAACTGAGAAATGCTCATGTTGGGATATCATCGATGAGACTTTAATTTGGGCATGGTGACTGTTTCCCTTGCTGCCACTTGACTCAAACCCAGGAGCCTCACTAGAGGAAATAATATTACACAAGAAGCTCAAAATGATGGAATTGCTCAGTGCTCCCATAAAGATACACTTATAATTTTCCTTTGCCATGTGATAAATTTTTGAAAATAGGATACAGTCAAAAGAAACTCTGCATGATATTTTTTTAAAAACTCGACATTTAAATAATTAATATATAAATTAAGTGCCCTCCTCTCATTAATGCCACCCTTATAGCTTTCTTCTATTAAGGGAGGTATGTGCATTCTTTTAGAGGATAGATGTGCACAAACACAAAAACTATTTTGGGGAGGGGGTCTAGAAGTGGGACATATTGTAATATATTCTCCTGCAAATTGCCTCTTTCATTTAATAGTCTTTTCAATGGGCTTTTTCTACTTCAGTAATACATACATATCTGTGCCATTTGTTGAATGACTGCATGACTGTTTTGTAGATGAAATATAATTAAATGTTTTAAGCATTTCTCATTCATAGATATTTATGTTAGCACCAAATTTCTGTGCAATGAACCTCCCTATATATCAACAATCTTGCTTTTGTTTATTATATCATAATAAAATTACTAAGCAGTTGAATCACTGGGATTAAGAATATACACACTTCAAATTCTGAAAATTATTGCAAAATTTTCCTTTAAAATGTGGTTAACAATTTTATCCTTCATGGCAATGAATGAGATTGCCAACTTTCCCACAACCGTACAGATAATGGATTTTATAAATATTTAAAATCTTTGCCAATGTTATCGCCCAAACTATTGTCTTAAATTGTATTTCTTTTGTTTTTTTAGTTTTGTCATTTTTTCATGTTTATTAGTCATCTGTATTTTTTAATTTCTTCTTTTATGTCCAATTTTGAGGATTTGGGGAGGTTTTAGTCTCTTCCAGATTTCAAAGAGCACATTTACTATTGAGGAAATAAGCTTTGGATTGTCAAGCATTACAGATTTTTTTACACACTTTTTAACTTTATTTTGTTACAAGAATGTGTATGATTGTTATATGTCCAAGTATAACCATGTTTGCTTTTATGGTTTCTGAGTTTCATGTCATTTTTTGAAAGATACTTATACTTAGTCCATAAAACCCTTCACCTATGTTAACTTCTAATTATTTTGTGTTTTTTTAATTCAAATTCTTAAATCATGAGAATTTTTTTTTTGTTTTGAGATCTTAAGGTTGCCAAGTTATTTGCCATTACTTGCGATTATTTGCCAATAATTGCCCATTTATCTGTAATGCCATCCTGCGCATATGCTGTATTCCCATCTGTGACGGGCTCCATCTTTGTTCTGTGGATCTGTGTGTTTCTTCTTTTGCCTCCTGTCTCATGTGTCTTCTTGTTGGGAGAAATTGCAGTTTAGACTGCAATTTCATAAACTATAATAAATTAATTTAGGGAAGAATTGGTTTTTAATAATATTAAGTCTTCATATCCAAGAATAAGGTATGTCTTTATTATTCAATAATTTTAATGACTGTTAATATTTTTACTTTTATGATGGGGTTTTTATTCTAATTTATTTGCTTCTTTATTTTTCTTTATCTGAAAGTTTTGTTTTGGGGGGATTAGTAGTCATCTTACTGTTTCTCATTTCTTTTCAGATTTTTTCAAAATATTTATCAAATTCTTTGCAAATATTGACAATTTTTATTTTCTCCCTTATTGACCCTGATTTTAATTATGTTGATAAAGTGCACAGACTGATATTTGCAGGGCACTCAAACGATTGTGTAAAGAATTACCCACCCTTGACTTAAATGGGTTTTAATGGAATGCTTCTTGGGTTTGAACAGCACATTGTTGCTGGTTTATTTCCCCAAAAGACTACCTGAAAAAGCTATGATCAAGCAAAGCTGAGCTTATTAAACTTATTGCAGCAAGGGAAAACACCACCTTGATAGGGTTTAATAGTGTTTTAAAAGCAGGAAATAAGGGCTCTGGGTCTGGGCTGATGTGATTTAAAGCAGGAAAGTGATTAGGGATGGGCAAAATTCATCATGTAATTCTTTAAGATTGATGGGAGAGTATTATGAGGTTCTTAATGTTAGTCCTGATAATCAAGTTATTGTCTAAATGAACTGCTTGCCTAGATAAAATGTTATCAGTGATAGAAAACCTATTTGCCTATGTGAACAAACTGAATTTATTTATTAGCTTATGCTTTTATCTTGCTGGGCAGGACTCAGGGGTGGTATCAGGTCTTATTCCCAATAGGTAAGTTATTTTTATATAGATGGTCTTAGTCATCAATGTAAGATGCTAATTTTAAGTTTGAAATATTTTGTTTATTGCATTAGAAAAATTTTCCACTTTTCATATTTTTCTAAGACATTTTAACGAAAACCATGTAATAGATATATTCATTGCTTTTTGTACAGTTATATTCTTTTTAAAAACATTTATTGGTGTAAAAACTCATTTCCTATTATTGAAATTTCTTATTTTTCCGTGAACAAACAGACCATATTTGGTTTTTAAAAAAATTTGATTATTTTAATTCACTGCTGAATTGTGGGTATTTTGATTTGGGAGTTTTGAAAGCATATTACTACAGGAAATTTAATCTGTTATTTTATGTGCTGTTTTTCTCATGCTTTTATATCCAATTTTCTGGTTGATTATGTTAAAGCAATTTTGAGCATTTCTTTCTATTCTGTGCTCTAGAATGGGTTAAATAGCTCTAGCATTACTATCAATGGTTAAACAAATACATCAATGAAATCAACCACTCTTTTGTTTTTGTTGGTTTGAAAAAGCGATGCTATCTAGAATTTTTTTTTTTTTTACTTTTTTCTATGGTTATTACTTGTCTGACATTTTGCGTATTACATTTAATCTTTTTTCCCCAGAAGATTTCAATCCATGTAGGTTTTCTAGCATATTAGAATGGAGTTTGGGTTATTTCTGCTATGACTTTTTAAACTTTGTAAATTTAATCAGTAGATTTTTTGACATCATTAGTCCTTCATTTCCTTTTCCCCTCAATCAGTTTTTCAGCACAATTTATCAGGCTTTTAAATGTTCTAATTATTTATATATTCCCTGCATTCTTTTCTGCTTTTCCTAATAAATTCTTAAATAGAGCCAGAAACAGTGATGTATGCCTGTAATCTCAGATACTTAAGACGCTCAGGTAGGAGGATCATAAATTCAAGATCAGCCTGGCAACTTAGTGATAGCCTGTCTTAAAATAAAAAGGGGTAGGATTGTAACTCAGTGATAGAGTGCCCCCTGGGTTCTATCCCCAGTACCAAAAACACCTTAAAAATTTGTAATTTATATTCTATATTTATTTTCATTTGTTCTCGTGTTCTTGGTAACCAAAGATTTTTCTCTGTTTATTTTATAACTTTTCATTTTGAACACATTATAAGCATTCAAATTAATAAGAGGAAAGAACAGTGAACTTGCACATACTGGAGACTAGGAACCTATGTTCCATTGTTATCAACATTTGTTATAGTTACTTCATGTTTTTTAAAAAGTATGTTTAAATGAGCCTGGAAATCCAAAGTATCTCTTTTTCCCTAGTAGAAACAATTTTAAATTTTATTTTCAAATAATGATATATATTATAAAATCCAAATTTATAAAAGATGCATAGATCCTAAAAGTGAAATGCAATCTACCTTCTCAGTTCTATCTTTTATGGCCACACAGTTTCTCCTTCCTGGAGACAGTGTTATTGTTTTTTTGTTTCTCCCTACATACATCCCCCCACACACACATCCTCCATACTCCAGGATAGATAGACACACACACACGCACGCACAATTTTATACTTTTCTGTAACTTTCTTTTGCATACTTATGTGAAATATAAATACTTAAATATTTCTAGCAGGTTATTTTATATTAGTATATGAGGAACTTTTTTATTATTTTAAATAATTTTAATTTATATCTTTATATAGGTAAAATTTACATACATGCTTAAATATTAATTGTTTAATTTAATGAGTTTTCTTAAATGTAACTACTGCCTAAGGAGATATTTTTATAACTACTTAAGTAGTTTCGCTACTACCTCTTTTCAGTCAAGGACATTCTCATAAGAAAGTGTTCTGATTTCTGTGATCATAGATTGGTTTTGCCTATTTTTGAAATTAATATGAATGGAATCACACAGTATGTGTCTGTCTTCTTCCACCCATCATAATGATATTGAGATTTATCCACACTATTCCCTATATTAGTGCATTTTTTATAAAAACAACAATAATAATGTTCCTTTTCCAGTGGATCTTATCTAGAATAAATGATATCCATTTGTATAATTTCTACTAATGTTAAATATGATCAATTGATTAAGGTGGTGTATGCCAGTTTTTTTTCACTGCAAAAATGTTCTTTTATTGTCAGGAGATACTTTGAGACTCTGAAAATATGTTCTATATCATTTAATTTCAGTATCCATTGAAGACTCTTGCTTATAGCAATTATTAGTATGGGGTTTACCTAATGATTGTATTTCCATGATGTTTTATACACTTACTCATTGAAATTTATAAGGAAGAGCTGTCCTTCTTCCCCATTTCAAAAATATATTCACTGGTAGAGATTAATCAGTATGTATTTATGGATATTTATTTTATTTTCAGATTTCTCATGTATCTCAAATATTATTTATTTTCATGCAAATTTTCCTAGGTTTGACCACTGGGGACTCCTGTAAGTTGGCCCCTGTGTTCTTTGAAATGGCCTCCATAGTTTTTTAAACACTTACATATTTTTTATTTCTACTGTATGTCCTAGCTATCTTATATTTTCCTCCCCAAAGTCTATAATCAACCATTTCTTAAAGGAACCCTGGTTCTTTATATTGGAAAAAAGTATTTAGAAACCAAGATCTGGGTATTACATGTACTCATTACAACTGTTGTGTCATTGCTTCTAGGTCCAGAGATAAGAAATATGTATATGTTTATACACAGACAACTATATTTTTTCTGTCTTTATCCATTTACCTATCTATATGCTAAGTATGTATTCTCATAGTATATTATAGATAATTTACATATTCTCAATCTATACAAGAAATCATGAGATCATACTATTTCTAAATACAATCCAGTATCACAGGGCTCGGCTTATTCTTCCCTCACCTTAGTTTTTATTCCTTTCTTCCACCTGGGAATGCTACTTTTTATTATCTACAATGTTTTCTCAAGTCTCAATGCAGTATATGCATAAAATAACTTCATAATTACTAACTCATATCCATTTATAAACAAAATAATTAATTGGAACACAATATCTAAATGTAGATTTTTAAATTTTACATTTCCTATTTTTTTCTGTGATTATTTTTCCTTTTCCTTTTAATGATTATGTAATATGAACTATAAAATAACCCATATTTTCCATTAATTCATTCCTGATTTGTATTTATTCTTCCTTTCCTTCTGTTTCCCTTTTTATATTCCCCCCCCATTCTTTTTATTTTTTAATTGAAATGAAATTCACATAAAATTAAAATTTAAAAATACATTATGAATAATGAAAACATACATTATGAATAATGAAAACTAGTATTTCACAGTGTTGTGCAACCAACTTCTTTATCTATTTCC